GTTGTGTTACATATTTAATTTCTTTTCGACTCTGCATACCTCCAATTATATCTCCTACCTCTGGTTCCTAGCTCCTATCTCTTCAGCTTTTTTCAGGGTCAAAGGTAAGAACTCTATCCAGAGTAGGAAAGGAGCTCCAGACTGCCATGCTGAATCCAGAAAGCCTTTATCCCCACCGATGTCTTTAGGGGGCAGGCACACATATAAATAATGCTAGTCAATTTAGGACTACAGCCTTCTGGAAAAACTACAAACATTTTAACTAATGTAGCAAACAGCTGAAACTCACCATTATAAAACCCCCAATATATAAGGTGTGGACATTAGCATGTGTCACATAGAGTACACATATTTTTGTTAATCTCTCTGGGGTGAGCTGTGCCTATACAACCTGTCAATCAAAGGCTTGTGGGCAACTCTGTAGCTCCATGCCGCAGTCAAGTCAGGAGGTTCCAATGCTTTCTGAATTGGTGCTAAGAAGCAATTATGTTCCTTACTCCTTCCTTATTATTAGCACTATTCAAATAGCATCAATATAGCAACTGCTGACACACATCTCCCATAGCTTAAGTGTCCTTACCGTTTTGAGGTATTCGGATTGGGCCTTGGCCCCTATGACAATTGGGAAGGGTTATTTATAACGTACCATCCATATCAGTCAAATTAATTGCATTTCGGAAAGTCAGGAATTGTATTGAAACAAAGGTGCTCACCTGATTGTATCCATATCAACACATTAAGCAATAAATAAGGGTTGAAAACAACTAAAGCTGTGACAATAAAGTATCACTAGGGCAAAATGTTACCTTTCCACTACAACCGTGCACAAGGGGCGTCACTGTGTTGCGTAAGAACGACTGCGTTCCCTTTCCATTGGAGGGAACAGGCAGTCCATGTTTTTACCCTTCAGGTACAATACAGACACCTTCCACAGCTTTGAGTCTGACTTTATTCCAAGTGACACTTGGTAGTTAATGGTTAGGGGCAGTTTGGGATTCAACCAGCCTTTTTTTCTCAAGCACACCTAATTCAAATGACTGTATTACATCCATGGCAACATCAAATACTGCAAAAGCCTGCTGATCACCTTTTCATTCCAGTCAAGTGTGTGGAGGCAGGAAAACACAGTAAGCTCTGAGGACCAGGGTTGGAAAACCCTGCTTTAGTTGACTAAACCGAAAGCACCTGTCGGATCATCGTCCTGGAACCTCCACACTACAACCCCTGTCAAATTGTCTTTTCTCCGCATTCAAGGCCATCCACTTGAATCACGGGTAGGGAGAGATCGCAGGGCTAGAAGTGATGTAGTAAAGACCCATGACTTTGAACTCACACCTTAAATGGTTTGAGAAATCCTCTTGAACACTGTTCTAAAGCAACCGGAGCTCTGAATACAAGCTGTTGTCCTCCGTCTTTACCTTATATTCCTCACATTTTCAAGATCATAATTGAATCTAAGATTATATCGATGCTGGTGAAGAATACCACAGATAAATCTACTGCTGTGTGTTCTAGGTACTACATTAAATATACTCTCCAACCCCATTGTACACTTAAAGTTGTGATTCTGAGTTTATTGCTACCTCCAGAGGTAGATCACAGGCCTCTATTCATTGTAAGGAGCTTTAAGTTGATCCTGTAATACAATAAAACACCACAGAACAAAGTCAAATGGTAAGATTCAGCTACTTTTGTTCTTTACCCTCTTTTTCAGTCTCTTACACCCCTCAGAGTGGAGTTAAAATATCAACAGACATCTTCACTATGTTTAACCTGATTGGGTGTCCACTGCTGTTGGCCTGTATGTGCGTTGAGCGGTACATGGCAGTGGTCCGACCTGTACTGTACCTAAGGCTGAGGAGGTGGGAGTATCGCGTGGCTGTTTCTGTCGCGGCATGGATGCTCACCTTGTCTTTCTCTCTGGTGATCGGTAAGTGATGCATGGGGTAGGGGAGAAAAATCCAGCTTGTATAATATAACATCCAATCCATCAGGTGAAAAGTTTCTGGGGATAGCAAGTCTTCCACTGAGAAAGCACAGGAACTAAATGTATTATGGTGTTTTGGGTTCAAATTCAGTCTGAGAACCCTTTACCTATAAAGTCTTAATTTGAAGCATTTTGGTTTTTGAAAGATGTATTTGTTGTGTTTTCTAGGCATATTTTTCACCTTGATTTCTTGCTTTGCACAGGTTTGAGGCAAGATATGGTTCAAATGATGGTGCCCGTTTCTATCTTCATATCCTTTCTTTTCCTGCTAATGCTCGCCTCCCTCGGGGGTGTGGTCCGATCATTACGACAACAAAGCCCTGCCCTCACCTCTAGTGGAAACCAAACCCACCGTCTGTCCTGCTTTAAGAGACGAGCTTTGAGTAATGTTCTGGCTGTGGTAGCGCCTTCGGTGATGTCTTACCTCCCGATCCTGGTAATGTTTCCTGTTGTCCTCTATGAGTTTTACTGGAATAATGCATTGAGTGATACAATGTGTATTCTTTTCGAATTGTCACGGCTTTTCCCTAAGGTTGGTCTCCTCATAGGGCCTTTGTTCTATCTGTCCAAGGCAAAACAAATGTATGTCCTCTGTAGAATGAAGGATAAATAGATGTAAAGAGGTTATTTCACCAACATCATTGATAAAGGGAGAGCATATTTATTTCTGTCTTTTTTAGGATCTAAAGTACAATCTTTCCAAAAGTTTAGAAAACTCTAAAGATTCCAATAATTTTGTTATTGACTTGTTGAACCAATAATCAGTTGGGTCTTCTTCGATGCCCCTCCTTTACCTCTGAATCATATTTACCCTATTTTGCTAATAAATCATTCAGTTAGTTTTATTTTATTTATTGTTTTCTTATTTGCTTTTATTTTACAATCTTAGATGGTCTTAAAGTTATGTTATATAGATATGTTTTGGTCCTGATTGGATGTCATCAGTCTGTGATGATACAATTTCCAATTACTTCCAATTTATATCAAAAGTCTGTGATTGATTTGGACGGATATTTATTTCCCATCTAACAATTATTTACTTGATATCAACTTACAAAACATAACTAGGATATAAATTGACTATTTTATTTCTAAGTTCTTACAGGCAACAGATATTTAAGGCAAAAACAGCATCATCTAATTATAAATAAATTAATAACAATAAATCACATGTTTGGAATAGTGTTTATATATTGTGAATTTCAAAATAAATATATATCTTAAAGATGTAGTTTAGGATTTTTCCTTTTTTCATTTTGTGTTGATTTAGTTGGATCGTTAGCCATTTAAGATTAATATAATTTAGTATCAATGTTGACTGATGTATTTTTAGATCCCTATTAATGCAGAAAGACTTATTAAAGTTTTATACCGCTGTTTGACTCTGTTTTATTGCATTTTAATAGTTTAATTCCACCTTATTAAGTTTGAATTCACTTTGAAATGTCTGAATGTTTGAAGTTAAAATAAAACTGGAGGGAATTAATTAAGTTTCTGAAAAAGTTTTTTTGCTGCCAATATGTTCACTATCCTTTGGAGCGCGGTTCAAATGATGCTTAACAACAGTAAATGTAAATAAATTTTGGATTATGTCTTCAAGCCAAATCAGTAAATGATGCTCTTAACATCGAAGGACGTAATGTGTCACTGCTGCTGTTTCTAAAAAAAATATTATTTCCACAAGTTAAGCCAACTTTACAGTCCAGGAATCACTTTGGTAAATGTCGACTCGAACGGTATCTTATGATATTGAGAACAATCTGTCTGACACAGCTCATAGAAACCTGTTGATTTGTTAAAAATAAGCATTTGTGGTATTGTCCCCAGTATGACAACAAGCTTCATGCTTTATCAATCACTTACGTCTTTGTCCGTGGCGTGGTGGTACAAAACGTTTCTATGCATTAAAGCATCCAGATGTATATATATATAAAAAGGTATTTCTTAAAAAGGGAGCATGCATGACTTGAAGGTATTGTGGAGGATTTTCTTTTTCCGTGTGGATCATCAAAATAAGTGGTCCTCCTAATTGTCAATCATTATGCTGATATGTTTACATAAGGCCATCCTACGCACTCATCTCCCTTTTCACTTAGTGATGGTGAGTCTGACATAGTGGCGAAATTGCAAATCTTCTTTTGGAAAATAAGCTTGTATGAGTGATGCAAACAGCAACTTTTAAACAGAGCGTGCACAAAAAGAACTGGGCTTGTGCACGCTCTCACACGCATTTAATAGGCGTTCCCTCTCAGCAGTGGGTACAGGGTTGTGCATGTGCATTTTTTTTAAAGGTGGAGAGGGCGGGTCCTTTCAAAAATTTGCAAAGATCCTCCACAATATCTTTAAGTATTTTGACATCTAATTATATGTTTTTGCAAAAGCTTTAAATTTTAGCTCTCCAAAAACTCTTTTGGAGAAAAGAGGGATGTTTGAAGTGGTTTGTTTACCAACTCTAAAAAGATGCCTAAAATATGTCAATCTAAACCCAAGTACAAAGGAGGGATGGACTGCAGTTACTAACCACAACCCAACAATAAGGCAATAATTTACTCTATCCAAATAGAAAAGATAACTGGTCTGCAGCGGCTAACTCCCTAATGAGAAATGAGCTTTTGGCCTGCAGTAATTACCTTCCTCATACTAGAAAAAATTAGTTCTGGTCTACAGTAATTAACTTCATCCAATTAGAAATTTGAGCTGGCTTGCATACGCTTGCTCCATCCAATCAAAAAAGAGGGCAGGTCTGCAGGAACTAACTTCCTCTCATTTAATTAAAGAGTTTCCAGAACTGATTGACTTTAGCAGGTCATAAATATAAGTGGCCTAATCTGACACACAACCCCTAAATGTGTATTTTGAACTACTAATTGAAAAATATAAGAAAACCAAGTGATTGGAGAGAAGGTACATTTATAAAACAATTGATCTACCGAGAAAGACTACAAACAGGTCAATATTCAAGTATTTATTTTTGTAGAAAGCACATTCCTGTAATAAAGCACTGAGAATCATTTCCCTCATAGTCATTTCCACTCATGACTAATGTTGAAGAAAATCAGGTAACAATTTAAAACCCTAACTTTATTCTGCTACCTCTGCTTATATCATGTGTGGAAAAAAAAAACACATTTCATCTAAGATTTCTGAACAAAATATTATTTATACAGAAGACATGAATTCTAGAGGGCTGCAAATTAAAGTCATTTATGACAATCATGGATAAATATTAACTTTGAACGAGGTTTTGAAACTAGTGTTTATTCCAGCTATGAATAAAATAAAAATGAGGACATTTAAGGATATTTGGAGAAATTCTATATCTTTTGATTCAAGTCTTGAATTTCATGAGGACACCATAACAGGACTTTCAATGAGAGGAACATTTGTAAACCTCCAGTGTTGCTTGGGATTATTGACATGCCTAATGGCTCGGTTTGTGCACAGCATTGCTGTGTGTATAGGTCCTGAGCCAAAATAATCCCACATTACCATTCATTTATACATTATGTACACATAAAGTTGCAGTTATGTGTTATTTTTTGCTACAGCCAGCTGTAAATATTTTATATAAATAACAGTTTGGCTTTTTTTTTTACATAAATATATGACCGTACTTCCTGTGGAGAGTCATTGCTCATTGGCTTTCCAGGTCGCCAACGTGTAAAAAGCAATAATCTATATAATATTTTAAGTATCACACCTTTAATGTTAATTTAGTGCCAAAAATACATGTTTTAATCAAAATTACATGCACAGTTATTTAAAAGTTTTTTTTGTCTCCCAAAAACTGAAAACCTGAATTTTAGCGGTCTGCCATTTCGCAACACAAACATAAGACATACATCCTGATTGGTTGTTTGCTACTCATATCGCTACAAAAAGCTTTTCTGGACAGTCATCAAAAATGTGTTCATTCTGCTAAACGTTTGAACTAGAACTGAAAACGTGTGCTTTGATTGGATGAGAAGCAGATGCACCATTTCAGGTGGGTCAGTTATAGAACCATGAAATGAAGATGTGGAAGAGCATATCATGCCAACTGATGTGTACGGTGGAAGATCCGGGATGCTGTGGGTTCTTCTTTATGCTGCTTCTGATGTGTTCCACTGGGAACCGATGTGTGGAGTTCACAGTGCTCTGCTGTGTCCGGATAAGGACGTTACTTTTGCCCTAACATAAGTTTTTCTTTTCTAGGATTTCTTTATGTCATTTAAAGACCCACAAACAAAGAATTAAAAGGTGCTGTTGGTTTCTTTAAAGATAATTATCAGAAAGTTGCTGATGCTGTCAGTTTCGCTTTTTGTTTCAAGTATTAAGACGTCTGCATGGCATTGTCAAAATTAAAAATTTGCATCAACATCTTCTGATCGCTCCCAAAAATGTGAACAAATCTGCAGCAGACTCGCTTATAGAGTGATTTAAAGGCATATGCTAGTGATGTAGTATGGCAATACCAGGCTTTACCTTCGTAAACCACTGTCCTCCTTCACTGTTGAAACCAAAGGCAGATGCATTGCATCATGGATTGTATTACATACCAGATTAGCAGAAAACAGAAACTAGACTTTCAATGGGACAAACAACCATTTCTGTGAACTCATTACCAGTGTTGCCAACGTAGCGATTTTGTTGCTATATTTAGCAATTTCTCAGACCTCTCTATGACCTTTTAATGTGAAAAAGTACTTACTGTAGCGCCAAATCTAGCAACTTTTTTTCTATATTAATGGAGACTTTGGCAACAACACATAAAAGCACCTCCTGAGTGAGGAGCGAATGGATCAATAAGCCCTCCTCACGCTACCTCTCAATCTCAGCTGTCGTCATGCAAGGCAAGCTGCCTGCATACTACTGCATACCGAGAGAGAACCAAACCTGCTCCAGTAATTTACAGTACTTGCTTCTTCGTTGGCTGATGCTTTTCTCCCTTTCTGCTCCTTCTTTCTCTGTGTTTCACTGCACTGCTTCTTCTACATCAAGTTCTTTTGGCGGTTGGCAAATAACTAATGGTGCCTTACTACCAACACCTGGTATGGAGTGTGGAACTAAATGGCTAAATACTATGTATTTTTTTGTTACTATAAAACTATTACTCTTAAAATCCCCCTTCCAGCTATCTTAATACCTCTCTGCAATGCTTTAAAAGACACCTGAGGTGTTGGCAACACTCTCAAGTACCTTCTTTCACATCCATTTTACTTCCTCAGATCTAAATCCTATAAAATTCCAAATAGGGCAGTGGCACCTAACATAAAACCCTCACAATGTCAAGATATATCCTTTTTCCTTATGTACACCTTGATATAAGTCGTACTTTCTAAGGCCGGGCATAAACAATATTTTCAATCGTTGTACTCAGCTACAGCTCAAACTGTACAATGACAATGCAGGTTTGCAGGTACAACCGTACATCAAAAAGCCATGTCGGACCTGTCGGACACATCGGTTGTATTCCTGCTTCAACACCAGAATTTGCTCACGAACATCTTACCATGGCCGACTTAATTTTAAACATGTTTGATTTTCTCCCAACCTTCTGATTTCTGATCGGGAGATGATCATAAGCAGCAAATCCCCCCTCGTTACCTCATGTATACTACGCGACACAGGACGCACAATGAGGCTAAAATTCTCGCACAACAAGAGAATCGGCCCAAAAAGGGTAAAAAACTTGTTAAGTGTATGCCCAGCTTAACAAGACTGTATTTCCCAATTGACTGACGAGTACAAAACAATACGAACTAGAAGACGTACCTAACTTAATCAGTTTTTGACACCAAGCTTTCTAAATTGTTACTGATATGCATTTGTAAATTCAGATTTTTCCGTTTTACTAATCTGCGACTCTTGCTGGTTTACACCTCTTTGAGATTTGGGGATCTAGGAATGCTTAAAGGATACATGGCCTCATTTCAGCCCTCTCAGAACATAGGTTTAGACAAAACAGTACCTTTCATAGAATTATTTTACTTTGAATTTTGCAAATAGGGCTTTAAATATGAAAAAAAACACAATCATTCATGTAATAAAAAATAGGACAGTCTTCATTATGCAAATGCAAATACATAGCTGTTAACGTTTGAGGAGTTTTTATAGCAGCACTGAACATGACAAGAGTTTCATTCTTCTTCATGCCCTGGTAACTGATGGCAGCAGAGCAAACACAAGTTTGTCTAGACCACCTTGAGGTGCTGAGGTCTCACTGAGGAAGACTCTGGCTCACCACTGGCTCCAGATGCACTTTGCCCTCTTTTTGCTTCAAGCATGGATCAAGAGACCAAGAAGATTGGTCACAACAATTCTCAAGTTACCACACAGAAGTCCTCACGTAAGACACGTTGCAACCTCTAGGAAATGTCCAGTGCCTTCACTAGTTTGAGGACGACAACCATTGGTTATATCGTTCACATGTTCTTGGCATATGGTAAGGAAAAGGGCACAAAGAACTTTAGAGGAGTGACTGAGAGTACAAGCTCCCTCTAGAAAGGCCAGTGTAAATCCTCAAAGTCCCCTGATTGGCCCATGTTCACGTCGGAGTCCAGCAGGCTCATGATGACGGCCATGGCTGCCTCGTCGCTGCTGAAGCTGCTGAGCCCGGGGACATCCAAATCCAGCTGGGATGGCTCACCTGAACAATTCCAAACAGGAAACAACCTTAAAAACCCTCATATTAGGGATTCTTCTTTGTGTCAGCTTAATGTCACTGGTTCTTGCCTTGTTTACATGTACGGCACCTTCAAGTTATCAGATTTGCTTTTGGGCATTTGACCCCATAGCCACTGCGTACCCATGTTCATAATAACACCCCATATGAGCAGACATTTATTTATAAACCAAACACATCAATAGTAAAGCCCTATTTCAAAAGAGTTAAAAAAAAAAAGTTAAAACACAATCCACTGGACTTTGTTTTCCCAACTACTAATCATTTTCAATTCAAAATGTCTGGATTAGCTTTATAGAGTAGCCCAACAAAGCCTTGTTATGGCTTAGAAACAATGCAAATTGAACGGGAAGAACAGGTGCACCCCTTAGTAATGGGGAGTCATTTTTGTTTTTTTTACTTTTTTAACATTTTTGGAATGACTACAACCTGGATAACTAAGAATCTTCACCAGCGGTACAGCCCTATATACATTTAGGGAGGCTACAAGACATAAACATGGCTACTAGCAACGAAAGTGAGTAATGAAACATACTACTTAATAAGTTGGAATAGTTATCCTCTTGTTATCGGATGGTTTCTTTTTAATTCTTACTATAAGTCTGTTCATTTGTGCAAGCATTAGCCTAAGTTAGTAAGCTAAATTAGATAGCTTTACTAACACTACCATTCCTAGATTGTCTAACCTTAATTAACAACAAAAACAACGATACATCTCCCCTTGAAACGTAACATTAACCAAATAATGTCAATAACTAAACATCTCGTAAAAAAGGGGATAATTAGTTTGACGTAGCTTACTAAGTATGTTTTACTCCATTTTTTTTTGCTAGAAGCAATGTTGAGGTCTTAAGTTTGAACTCCTCCAATTAGTTGCCATTTATTCCTGTTAAAAAAACGTAAAATATTTGCATACTGAGTTTCCATTTGTGAATAACGTCTGAATAACACGTGTGTATTTGTGAATATTGAGACTATTTTACATGACATTGAAACTCTACCAAAAAGGGGCACTCACAATACATACTCATGTATTTATTTAATACACAAGCATGTAAATTACGCATTTCAAACCTTTTATGAGTGCAGATTTAGTACAGCAAGACCAATATGTCACACGTATGAGTGCGTCCTCCTCTGCGCTATTGATTAGCTTTCTGTGTGCTCATAGCCTCTCTTCTACTAGTGTGAATTTTTTTCTGTACACTTATATGATGTGACTTTGAGGAAGGTAAACACTGGAGAAAGTAAAAATCTGTGATTGGCTACTTTTCAGGATCTCCCACCACTTTATAGTGTAAGGTATCCTTCCTGGTGGTAGCTAGTAATGTTAGCAAAGCATCTGTAGGCTAACTGCTGTTCTCTTGAGGAGTCCCAAACTGGTTAAGTGAAGGAATCATTAAATAAGTTAAACATAGTCAGCAGTAGCCACATGCTCTAAAATGATTTGTAATGTTAAATTTGGAACTTCGTATGAGCTAAGCTAACGTTAGCTTCACTATTGAGCAAAATGAGGCTTGAATTGTTTTGTATTTACTGGGAATCCTTTTTCCCCTTATGTCCAGCACTATTTATCCTCTTAATATCCACCTCATTTTGGGAAATTCTCACCTATTTTGCATACCCAAATGGAAAAGCAAATAACTATGGAGCTGTAAGCCCAAATTACATTTGTGATACATTATTTGAAAGCTAACACCTTCAAGTTTTGGTGAAAATTCTGTGAGTAAAACAAAGCCCAAGCTGCATCAGTTCAAACATGACTCAAAGCAGTTTTTTTAATTCTCGAAAATAATAGGTCTATTTTGAACAGCAGTAATAAAGACATGCATGCTTGTTGTGGCTGCTTTGTTATGTTTACATTTTAACATGCTGCTATATCTGTGTTAAATGTGCATTGGGGCTCACTGTGTCCATAAAAAGAACTCGGCAGTAGAATTGTGGAGAATCTAAGCTTTCCAACGATGTCTAACATGTTGGTTTTGAGACGTTAAAAATTGACCACTTTACATCATTCTATCCCTGTTCAACTATTCTGCATTATTTGTTAGTTCAAACTCTAACTTTATGTTTCCTGCTTTTTCTTGTCATAGTAGCTTCATCTGATCTGGTTCTGTTTGGTTGTCAAACAATCCTGGAGAGAAATATCTACTGAGCTGCTGCCATCTACATTTTTGGTTATAGACAACAGAGTTGGGCCTGTTTTACAGTGTTTAGTTCTGTTTCTTTCCTAGTCATAGGAAAGAAACAGCAGTTAATGTGACTAACTGCATGTGCTCCCATTTATTCCTTTGGCTTTAAAACTGGCTCAGAGCTTGTCTGCTTAACTGTTTATTTCCTAGACAGAGTCATCTACTGAGCTAGTTTTCTAACATATATACCTTTTACAACATATAAAGTAGTTATGGATCAGTGCTTCTGCATATGATATGTTTTGGCTTCTGTTTCCTCACATGAGCGAGGAGAGAGGCACTTATGCAAGTAACATATTGGGGCTCTAGGGGTATGGAATCGGTATGCATAAAAAACTAAAATGTGCATAGAGAGTGGTTTATGTGCATGTGTTTAAAAAAAATGGTCATATCAGTATTGATAGTGCATTTTGCAGAATTCTGACACATACTTTTAGCTCCATAAAAAATAAAGCTACCTCGACATTCAGATGCTGCACTGCTTCCCGCAGCTTCTTTACCGGAATCAGTCTGAGACTGGGAGTTTGAAGAGCTGCTTGCTTCTTCCTCTCTGCTGGAAGTCTGAAAGAGTCAGATACACCTTTTAGTTCTGTAAAGGACATTTGAGATTCCTAGAGTTACTCTGTATTCGGTGATGTATAGTGGGAGAAACATACACTCCTGCTGGTCAGCGGACATTTTTCCTGGACAGAGCCAAATGGACTTGAAGCTCCACTTGATGGAGATGAGTTTGCCCTTTTAAATAAAAAATAAAAACTATGTTTAACCATCAGTATTGACTCCTTAAGCTATTCTGATAAAACGCATGCCATTCACAATGACCAGCAAAGGATATACACCCCTGATAAAATTCTTTGTCAGGGGGAAAATTTCATGCAGTAAGAATAGCATTGAAATGCAAAAAAAAAAACCCAAAACATAACATAAATATTAAACAATGATTTCTTTACCTGTATGTGTCTCCTAGTTCATTTGCGATTTGGGTCCCTATGCTGCCTGCGTAGATCATCGTGCCTACACCACTGGAGAGGCCGAGTATTTCCGGGATTTGCTTAGAGTCTTCTGTTGAAGCATGAAGAAAAGTATCGGAGTGTTTACAACTCATCCCCGGAGAACTGTTTCACATTCTATCAACTGCCCGCTTGAATACATTTTAACTGCCTGACATAAACCAACTCAAAATGGGCCAAAATTTAGAATGTTTAAAATAAATAAATTTTCTTTTCCTTATTTTTTTTTTTACATATTAAAACCTGAATAGTTTTTAAGGCAAGATAAGACAAACTTTCAAGAGTAAAAATATCTCACCCTGATTCGATTTTGAGCTGCCAGCCTCACTATCATCTTTTTCGTGACCAGGCCCCCTGTTGGTGCAGAGGAGAATTGCAGCTTGCATTGTTGACATTCAAAGCAGCAAATTAATCCGTGGAGATGGGAAAAGTACTCACGAGATAACCCTGTTTGAAGAAACGATGAACTCGACTTCTTTGGTCCATGGATTGGTGAAACTAAACCACTGGCTTTGGAGCGTAACATAAGCGCCATGTTTTGTTTTGAACTTGTAGCATTGTGTCTCAATCTTTTCTTTGCTTCGAAGAACTGTGAAAAAGACTGGACTTCAGATAACTTTAATGCTTCCTAATGTGCAATACCTTCTTTCAAGTGTTGAAGATTTTGTTACAGGTGATGGTTTTGTTCAGTCACCTTGTCTGTGTTTCCCTGCCAGATGATGAAGGTCATCCTGGTGGAAGTACTCGTAACAAGAGGTGCCAAGAACTTCCTGTGGCAAATAACCAATGACTGTCGTGGCCCTGGATAGACAACAGAAGAGTCAAAGTTTAGTTATTCCGGCCCCCTATGTCTCTCCTACCGCCTCCAAAGATTGTGCACAATACAAATACAATGTTGTGAGATGTTTAAAAAAGGTCTCAGTGTTTTACGATCGCCATTAACACACGAGAGATTGGATGAACTGAGTCTCTTTACATGATTTGTGTTGTGTAATTACGTCCCAAAAAGTGAGAAGGGATTGTCATGTGATGCCATCAAGATGTACAGCTTTCTTCTGAGAAACAATGGCAAAGACAGAAAGGATTATCTCCACTGACAGATGAACTGACGCCACAACAAGCCTCTGCCATTCCTTTCTCAGCTGAACCGTGGCTGCCAGATCAAACCCGTAACCAGCGGGGAAGGGTGGGACAAGATCAATGGTGCGGATGGACATAGTTAGAAAGTGGAAACTCACTGTTGATCTACAAAAGTGAACTTGCCGTCGATTGCACAGCGGGTTACGAACTCGGTGGCTTTGACGTTGACGTCTTTTGGGGGCTGGTGGGAAACGTGGGGATGGAGGCGGCACACCGTGACTAGGCAGTTCAGGCTGGCGGTCTCTTTCTCTGCGCCATCACCCTCTGGATCCAGTTCGCTGCTCGGCCAAGTCCGCATATATCCGGTGCAATGGAGGGTACAGTATCTGTATGTTTCTGTGGGCAGAAACAAGGTATATTCATTGTATTTTATTTGACATAACCAGGAATCGAGCTGCTGTCTAAAGGTTCAGAGATTTCTTACGAGTACAGGAAGACCACAACACCAGGCAACACAACAGACAATTGAGGGAACATCCAAAGTTCTGAACATCGCTCAGATCGTATGGCTCAGCTGCAAACCCACTAAACACAACTCATACTAGTACTTTTACTCGTTGCTTTCCACTTTTCTGGGACTGGTTTGTGGGGCCAGCAGTGTCAGCAAATACTCCCAAACTTTCCTCTCCTCAGACATCTTCTCCAGCTCTGCTGGGGGAAGCTTGAGGCCAGCCAAGAGACATTGTCCTGTAATTCATCTTGGATTGTCCACTGGGCCTCCTACCAATTGGAAGTGATGGAAGACCACTGACAGACACATCCATGGACCATCTGAAAAAATATGTCCGATGCACCTCACCTGCCTGATCTTGATGTGGAGGAGAAGCTATTCTATTCTGAGTCTTTCCCAGACTAGGGGGATTCCTCCCCCTATCACTAAGGTATTACCTAGCCAGCCTGTGGAGAAAGCTTTCAGCCTCTTCCAGGATCCAGGACCTGGGAATGTAATTCAACTAGTAAATTGAGAGCTTTGCATTTTCACTCAGCTCTGTCTTTACCAGAACAAACTGCCACAGCACATGTATAATAGCTGCAGTCACACCAATTTCTTTATTGATCTCCGGATCCATTCTCCCCTCGGTTGTAAACAGGACCTCAATATACTTCAACTCCACCACTTGAGGCAGGAACTCTTGTCCAGCCAGAAGAGGACAAGATGCCTCTTTCTGGTCGAAGACCATGGTCGCTTCACACTCGGTGGCGAAGAGCACCCCTACACCATGAACCCAGGACAAGTCAGACTTAATGCTCGCAATGCAGACCAAAAATCCTGCTGCAATTTTAAAGAAACTGGAACACCCCTAGTGAAGAGAACCTCTTCACAGCAAGACTATTAGTTGTGCACTCCACCAATGCTAAGTTTTGATAAAAAGTGGCAAGAAAGCCTTAAGACGACCAGTTAATTAGTTGCCACAAGCCCATTGAGTTGTACAAGGTCTCTGCTCGCATGAGACCAGAAATTAACATTTTGATTAGCATGAAAAGTCCTATGTGTTGCAGAAAATAGAATCACACCATCCCCATGGTTGACGGTGGGCCTGGCAGCATACTTCTGTAGGGTTGTTTTTTCTTCAGCATGGATAGGGAGGCTGGTCGTAGGCAATTTTAGGAAAACAACTTGATGGGAGCTTAAAAAAAACGTAAAAAACGTAAAAAACGTAAAAAAAACGAATCCATTGGCAGATCATCTTATATACCTTTTCTCAAATTAAGGGTCAATTTTTTGTTATTTCTAGATCGTTTTTGCAGTGAAGATACAGTCAGTACTATGGTTTGAATAGCGGTTTAGGTTAAAAAAAAAAAATACTGATCTGCTAGAAACCCCAGGTAAAAGTCCAGGTTTACAAACTAAACTTAGAAAAATTTGGTCCAATCTTACTAAGCTTGCAAACAAAAAAAAGGGTCAGGATTCTACTGTGGGCCAAACTTGTAGAGGAAGTCCACTATGACACACGGCTGTAATATAATTGATTCAAGCTAGCAGAATAATAATACACATCACAGTTATTATTTTTATTATCAGAACTTTAATTATTCTCTCACATAGAGAGTATAATTAAAGTATGAAGCACCTGGAAAGTAATTATTCATCGGTGTAGTTGTCAGGTTGTACCACTAGATGGCGACAGAGCATGAGTCATGTAATATAAGAATATACTGTATGCTGGTCACTCATTAAAGGCTTTGACAAAACAAAATGTAAGGGGTTGCAGTTGAATTTTCCTGACCTGATTGATATCGATTAAACTTAAACAACTCTTCTTGGTAATCAGGTCCTTTTTTAAGGTTGCCTTGTTTTAGAAACTCACCCCCAAAAAGAGCATTAATACAGGTTTAAAATGTGGGAAGATGAATTCTGGGTTCTCTACTGCTACTTTCTTTATGAAAGTACAGAATGATGCACAACTCAGTACTTCTCATGGTTTCTAAGTTTGTTCAGGTCATTTGCAACTTTTAATTTATAACTAATTCAGGGACAGGAATGAAGAAAACAGGAAGAATGAAAAAGTGAAGAGTCAATGCTAAGAAGAGGAAGTGGGCAAGTAATTAAGAAGGAAGGAAGGAAGGAAGGAAGGAAGGAAGGAAGGAAGGAAGGAAGGAAGGAAGGAAGGAAGGAAGNGGAAGGAAGGAAGGAAGGAAGGAAGGAAGGAAGGAAGGAAGGAAGGAAGGAAGGAAAGAAATAAGGAAGGACGGAAGGAAATAAGAAAGTAAAGAAGGAAGGAAGGAAATAAGAAAGGAAGGAAGGAAGGAAGGACAGAAGAAGGAAGGAAGGAAGGAAGGAAGGAAGGAAGGAAGGAAGGAAGGAAGGAAGGAAGGAAGTCCTGAAATAAAAACAAATATATACTTTTATTTCCCATTGTTACCCAGAGCTAAAAAGCAAAAATAAATCCCAGACTTTTGCAAGCTGCTTAAAAAACCCTACGTTTTTTTTCAGGTAGATCTGCTTTACATTCTTACAAAAGTGTTTTTACACCCTGACTGTTTTGTCTTTTCTCCAAAGTGCAATAACAAAAAATAAACCACAACAATATATTTTAATGGTGCTTTATGTGACAAACACAAACACAAAGAAGGGCAGGTAGAAAGAAAGTAGAGTTTCAAACTGTTCATCCTCAGGATCTCTGACATTAAAGTCAATAATACCAAAAAGGAAAGTCAAGAATCGTGTTGTAAAAAAACTTTGGTGAAACGTTTCTTCCATATCACATGTTCTGTAATGGAAATGTTCTTGCATGCTTCAGACCCCTTAGAACCACATCAGGGGGACTGATGATCACGTGAGCTTCTCTATGTCCAGACAAAACTTACCTCTTGTGCAAGCTGATAAGTATCAGCTGATCCAGTCATGCTTCCTAATGGCAGCCCTGCAGACCATCCAGCCCATCTGCTGACATGTCACATGTGCGGTGCAGGTGCGCAGCAGGGCAGCTTCAGAATCTGATTAAAAGGCATTTCCACTCGGCACCCACCTTTCTTCTTAGAAACACCAGGCAGTGAGTGCTTGTCTTCGTGCTTCCCTGCGACCCGACTGTGCTTCATACGGCAAAAAAAGGATCTCCGAGCTCCAGCGGTCAAGTACGACGGCCTGATGGGGGTTTCCGTCTGGACCTGGACTCCAGCTGCAAAGAGGAAAAATGCATATTCTGAGACAAAGCTCTTCCTGTTCAATCAGTTCAAGTTTTTGGTCGAGTGAAGTCTTACTCGCGGCATCGACGAGGCGCTGCTGGGGGAGCATCTCTGAGGATGAAAGCTGTTCCTTCACCTTATGGATATCTTTGGGGTGGATGAAATCGAACAAGCTCTGTCCTGTTAGCTCCATCTGTAAATAAAATGCATGTGCTTAAATTATTTTTTTTTGTTTTTTGTCTGAAACACATAAACGTTCAGCTAATATAAAACATTCTCTGTTTAAACACCCAAGCCAAAGGCTATAGGACATTGTAAACATTTTTTACACTCTTTTTTTACATTAATATATGAATCATTACAATGTATAATTGTAAAATGAACACAAAATTATATTAGACTTTTTCTCATATGAATTTATCTAAACCAGTTATGTCCGGCTGGAAGTTCGAACTCCACCCCTATCCTAAACCTTCATCTCTTTCTAAATGAGTTTCTTCCATTTCCAGTATAAAGCTCCAATTATCCCTCCTTCAACTCGAACAGGAAGTTTAGCAGTTGTGACAAATGTTCTTTCCGTTTACAGATCAAGGTCTGAACTTTTCTTTTTGATAAAGCATATAGTTAGAGTCAGGTAATCCTGTGCTATCATTATAGTTATGCTGCTATAGGCTTGGGGTGCTGGAAGACATAGAGACCACTTTTCCTCCCTGTGCTTCATTCTATCTCTACTCTCCCATTCTGCAGTATTTGTTAGTTCAACCCCTAACTTAATGTTCTTTCTGCTTTTACTCATCACATTTGCTCCATCTGATCTTGCTTTTTTTGGAAGTGACATTATCCTGAAGGGAATTTGTTTTCCTGATCTACAGTTGTTTTACTGTTGACCAGTGCATTTGAATGGGCTCATTGGTTTCTCAATTCAGACCCTTCATTTAGTTAGTTTTTTTAAACATGTGTAACCAATGAAAACAAAGACCTTGCTGAAGTTAAGGATCTTGGAGACAGAATCAGAGATGAATAGGATCTTTGCCCGGTCGCACCTTACGACTAACAGGAAGCCATCTGCAGCCTAAAGGCAAAAATATATACAAAAAAAGTGTTAAAACAGAATCTTTACTCCCATTTCTGAGAAGTGCAGAAACTGTTTAGACATATAAAGCTTTTAAAGCGTTGGGTAACTGTCAGTGTTGTGGAACAGAAGAAAGTGAGTACTTAAGTTTACTTTACATTTTATGCTATATAACCTGTTTCTTTATGTTACTTTCAGCTGCTGAGATTTTAATGAAATGGAGGTAAAATTAATACACAGAAAAGTATATATTATTACAAGAGGGACCTTATCCTGTTAAATCATTTGTACATTTTATACAGTAAGAAAGGTTTTTATGATTTTATATGGTTAAAAAAAAGATTTTTCAATGTATCTGTTCTAGTCTATAAAATAAAAATGCATGATTTATTTTATTGTCTCTTGAATTTCATTATTATATTAAAGTTAAAAAAAGTGAATTTGTTTTCTTTTAGTGATGATTTCAAAATGTAGTTGTTGCACTTTCAGCTTCAGTTGTACTGAGATAGGATCACAGTTTTCACCTTCTAGATCTGAGGTTTCCAGCACTTCAAATGGCTCCTTTCTTTTCTTAATAGATCTAATAGTAAAACATTTCTTTTTTTTGTCCCCTTTTTTCTTCAGTGCCCCCATGAGAAATACTGGCCCCACCATTGCTCCCCTGGTATATTTGGTTTAGAACCCCCAATGTATTCAAGTAGAGCTACCTTTACTTTAGTACGACCTTTTTGGTGGTTATTATGGTTAACTAAAACTAAAAAAGATTGAACCAAAAAAGTTTTTGTTAACTGAAATGAATAAAAATTGCTACTAAAATGGAAAAAAACCCCATAAATAACTAAAACTACATTAAGCATATTTAAAACCAAGACAAAAAAATGCATTTGAGTTTCTATTTTTTTATGTGTTTTGGTATTTTTGTTTTTACACGAGTTAGTTTACATCATTATTGATGTAAATCAGTAATGAATAATGATCATTATTCATTATTGATTAGTGATTTTTTTGAAAAATTGTATTTTGCTTTAAGTTTTTTATGACAGAAATACATGATAAAATAAATACATTACTTTAAACTTTTTTAATCCTGCACCTAAAAATCAAACGTACAAAAAAACTAAAAGTAGTACCAGAAATAATAAATAAAAAAAATTATTGAAATGATAACAACTAATAAAACTCCTTCTGAAAATAGGGCTGAGTATCGATTTAATTCATCAGAAAATTTAAGAAAATTCTCAAGATTTAAAATGTATTCTTTTTTATTCGATCTGATGTCAAATTGTATTAATAGTATAAAATTAAATGCATTTTTTCTTCTATGACCTTAATTATATGGCTTTGTAAAAAATAGATACTGGTATTACATTAACATTTACCAGCAAATAAAATGATGGTAGTTGATGGAAGCTGTAGAGATCTTTGGTTATATTCAATCAATCAAAGGATTAAATATGAGAATTGATTCAGAATTCAGAAAAAAGAAATAACACTATTTGAAAACTGATTTAAGCAAACTAAATACAAAAAAACTGATTCTTAAAACTAAAAGAAACTATCTTTAAAGATCTAAGGGACAGGTTCTCCACATGGCATCATCAGGGGGTTTGGAGCTACTCCAGCTTATAGTTCTAAGGGAAAATGCCAAACAGCAGCTGTTATAAAAGACCAACATTTTGATTCAAACTTCTTATAACAAGTCATGCACAATGGTGCAGTGCTGGTGCTTTGGCTTTATTTAGACCTTAGAGTCTAAACTAGCTTCAGTGTTTAGTGTAGGGCCATCTGTGCATTGCTTAAGTCGACTCATTCACCAGGCAGCTGATCCCAGGCAGCAGGTAGTGCCGCTCGTTACCTTATCTTTAGAGCTGCTAAGAAGCAGGTGGCTTAAAACGTTTAAATGATTAAACTGAACCGGGGATGATTTTAGCTCGGAAAACTTCACCCTGAGCAGAAGATGCCAGAGGTCGTCATGAGGCAGGATGGAAGGCTTATGCTTGGTGTCTGCGAAGGCGCCGCTCGCTCCGGCTGAAAGCACATCAGATCCATTTTAAGACTCTTTCCGAATGTTTTCAGCAGCAGTGTGTGTGCGGTTATGTTACCTTTGAGGGCTTTCAGGTGTTGTACAGCTTTTCGTAAAACAGTGAGCTTGTCCAGCTTCCGCGCCATTGGCTGACAGGCAGGGATCATGGCGGAAAGCTCATCTATGAGGTTGTTCATTTTGTCCCTCCGCCGCTTCTCAATCTGCCGGTGAGGCTCCCTGGAGATATAGTTCCAATTTGTAGCTCTTATATATAATTTCATTGTGAAACTAACATTTTAATACTGATTAACATTCATTTTAATGTAACTTAGCTGTTTATTTATAAACACAATATACTCATTTTAGCTCAATTACACTTTTAAAATGATATTTTACTGTTATTTTAATTCTTTTAAATGTAATTTTATTTATTTAATAGGCAATTCAATTATTTCTAATTATGCACTTTATCATTTAATCATTAAAGTTCATATAAATAATAAATAAAAAGATCTCACATGACCTTATTAAAAGTAAACATTATTTCGCTAAATATTTATTTCAAAATAAAAGTAGAGTAATTAAGCACTCTTTTTAATTAAGCACTCTTTTTAAATAACAATCAATTATTATTTTAACTATCTTAAATGTAATTTTGAATATTTAATGGGATATTTAATTATCTAATTGTGCATTCTCTATATTTTTGTATTTAAATCATGAATTAAATTAACAAATAAATGTTACTGCCTTTTATTTCACTGTACAACAATTTATTTTATGGGTTTAACATTTATATACTCAGTGAAGTATTTTAACGTCGATACAAATCATTACTTTACTTTATAGTTTTTACAATGTAAGTGATACATTAAATAAACACATATAAAGAAATGTTTAATAGCTCTTTTAATTATTTAATTGTGCTTTTTATAATGTTTAGTATTTGTATCATTTAATAGATAAATGAATAAATGTTGCATCTTCTTATTTCATGGTACATTTATTTATTCTATGATGTTTTTTTAAATAAAATCTATATTGTTATTTCACTCTATATTTATTTCCAAATAAAAGTGAATTAAGTTGTTGTTGCTTGTTTTGTTGGTGAAGAAAGAGCTGAGCAAAAAGGCAAAGCTCTCGATCTACTGGTCGCTCTACGTTTCTACTGGATCACATTAAATCTGGATCAGGACCGAAAGAACGAGATCCCGGACACAAGAGGCTGAAATTGGTTTTATCCACAGGGTGGCTGGGCTTTTATTTATTTCATGGGATTAAATGTTGATATTATTGTTACTTAACTCTATATTTTTTTAAAGTTACAATGAAATAGGTATATTCATTTTTAAATAAATGTATTTTTTGAATCCTATCTAATTTTTTATTATTGATTTGCACTGCCGACTGTTTATTCACAGTACCAATTGTTTACATATACATTTGCAATACCGTACTTTAACTGTAATATGCAATTACCTTCCACTGCACTTTAATTTAGACTTTAATTCTGTCCAAACTTTATTTATTTACTTTATAGTAAAATCGATCTGTATATATGCTATTGTACATAACTGTAAAAACCCTTATTACAGTAATATCCTCCTGTATATTATATTCGGTACATATCCAGCTGTAAATTTAGTTCATAACACTAGTTATCTATATATTATATTCATAGGACAAATCTATGAGTAAAATTCTGTTTATAATGGTATTCATCTCTATATTTATTCAGTAGAAACCCATATCCTGTATTTATGGAACCATTATTTATCCTGCACTTGCTGCTATTGCACTTCTGGTTAGACCTAAACTGAATTTCCTTGCCTTGTACCTGTACCTGTGCAATGACAATAAAGTTGAATCAAATCTAATCTAATCTAAATGTTCATTAGTGTATTCTGTTCATTGAGAACCCCTGATCTAGAAGTCCATAAATGTTCACCTATAGCATTTCATTTTGACTTGCTGATCCTCCCCCTCAGACCTGCAAAGAAAATGATCAGATATGAATGAAAGTTCTGTCTCCTCCATTATCAACCTATAAAGCCTGAAGGTTCTGTGTACCTGCAGAGGTCATCCTCTAGGCTGAAGCTGAAGTTTTGCCTGTGAGATCAGAGACAATGTGAGTCATTTAATACCCCACAGGGACAATGTGTCCGTTTGGTTATTGCCATGGTTACGAAGGTACACAGAGGTAAAAGGACACCGAGGTTCTTTATCGTCACAAACAGCAGCTCTTACTGTACACGGGTGTCTGACCTCTCTTCCACCTCTCCTTTCCGTTTCCTTGGCAGCTCGACAGATGGCATTGTCAATCCTGCTTGGCTTGGCCCCTCCTCCTCCTCCTCTGCAGCTTGGTCTGATATGTAGAAAAACATTGTAGGAGGCTATGAGTGAACAATGAAGCCTCGATGCCACAAAGGGCACGTGATTCAATGAAGTGTCAGTTTTACCAGGAAAAATTAAGCAAATGGAGACAGTCGGGAACCTTAAAGTAGAGCTTTTTTGCCTGTGGTAGTGCCTTTCCTCAGCTTCTCATCTAAAGCTTATGCTGCATTCACACCACATTAGTAAAAAAGGTGTCCAACGCCTCACCTTGGATGCTTGTGCACATTAAAGTCAGACGTGTTTCTGACAGTTTTTCTGATATTAAGAGTGTACAAACACACTATTACCCGCCATATATTATGACAAATGTTTGCTGTTGCGGATTCTCCTCATCAGTCTGCTTATGCTAACCCTAACATCACAGGATTCATACCTAAACCTAAGGACGTCTGTGGTGAAATACCATATATACCAACCCAAGGGGTTGGTAGAATATGGTGTAACAGCAGTCTCTTGTGTGCAAAGGTAGGTGTAATGCAGAGCGGGGTATTGTTTTATTTTCTGTTATTAGTGGGGAAAAAATGACAGGATTATATGTTCATTAGGATTATGATCCTTTTAAATATATTGCAGCGGCATCATCCTACATACAAAGCACCCGATTAACACTGGGAATCCCCAGGGACATCTCCCACAAGCCAGCCAATCACTCTGGAAATATTATGCTGCCGATTATGGTGGCTAGAAGAGAGTATTTATATAGAAGAGAATATACATTTTTAAATAAAAACATTTTTTTTTTTTTTTTAAGTTGATGTAAGTAGTAGTTCTAAACATATTCACCACAACTTTTCCTTATATGTGGAAAAAAATTGATTCACCTGGACTTTTGGTGTAAACCTAGAGGACAGTAACTACTGCTGTCAACTCTTTAACAAGGAAAGTTGCAATTGGCTGTCCCAAAAGTTGGAAGATAATGTCATTACCTAATTTGATCAAGTCTCTATCTAGCCTTGATGAGCAAGGAATACCAACATTGTCAAGACTGTCACAGTTTACTGCTGAGTCTGACTACCTGTTCATTGGAGGAGGACGAGGCCCATAGCAGAACTTGCCGCTTGCTGACGGCAGAAAACTCAGAGCCTCTGTGAATTCCCAAGCCGGACACAGCGGAAAACCAGCGAAATGAATCAGCTAAATAGGAGATGACTCTGTCTCATTTACCCCATTTTCACTTCTCTTGAAAAACAGTGCAGAAACCGGTCCAAGCTCAGTAACTGATATAACTTATCGTGTGTAAATGGAAAGCAAAAACAAAACCGAGGTGGGCTCTGCTCGGTTTTTCCCTGGCTTGGTTCTCTGATAACAAGAGCGCGTGAGCAGAACGCGTCATCTCCGTCTGGCTGCACATCCCGATTCACACTCCATTCCAGTAG